ATTCCAAAAAAAAATTTCGACATTACTAATTATACTCGTGTGTTTGATTAATGGGAAGCAGAGGCATTATCTCTGGGAAGCAGAGACATTATCTCTGGGAAGCAGAGACATTATCTCTGGGAAGCAGAGGCATTATCTCTGGGAAGCAGAGGCATTATCTCTGGGAAGCAGAGGCATTATCTTTGGGAAGCAGAGGCATTATCTCTGGGAAGCAGAGGCATTATCTCTGGGAAGCAGAGGCATTATCTCTGGGAATAAGGGTCGTTAACAACTATCACACCCCCCCCACCCCTTTCCTCTTTCCTCACACCCTCACCGTCTCCCTCACCTTCTCGGCCTTCCTCTCCTCATATTGCCTCACCTACCAGTCTCTCATCACTCATCAGCTCGCCATGACAGGAAGACAATTTAGTAAACTCTTCAATTTTGTGGCCATTTTGATTGTTCACATTCCATCTTTCATTAATAATTTCCTTCTTTATCCTATACTGCTAACATCACACGTGGTGCTTCTCAAGTTGTCCATTACTGCTGCTCTGGACCAAGATTCAATCACTTGCGAAACCTGTGCATCCTTCAACAATTATGGCGGGTTTATTTACATTTATTGAACAGTTTACGAGCTTCGAAACTTCACAATCCAAGATTATTATTGCTATAAACAGCCTCGTAGTGCTTCGGAGCCTGTAAACTGTTTCATCAATGTAAACAATGCTGCAATGATTCTTGAAAGATGAACAGGTTTCGTATGTGGTTAATCCCGGCCCTGATTCTTGATTTTGACGTTGAGGCCACACCAGGGTCTGGCACCCAAACATTTCGGCACCAATACTCCTTCATGCAGACCTGTGGCTTCATCTCCTACCTTAATTGATCTTTTCTACGGTGGCTACAGTGTCATCCATTGTATCTTCCAGCCTTTTATCCTTTAACCTTGGTCGCTACACTGATGCTATTATAAAGACCCCCTCATGAAAGCTTTAGTTGAGCTTCTCACACACCACACTATCATTTTCTGTGAGAATTTTTGCCTTGTCACCTCAATCTGAGCACATGGTCTCTCACTGTTGTCTTTCCACCATTTATGGTGATGGTGGAGGCTGATGTGGTGATGCTGGTGACGGATTTCAGGCCAGGGGGGCGAGCGCCCCCAGGAAAGTTGTTGTTGTTGTTTAAGGTTCGCTACTTGGAACAAAAAGTTCCAAGTAGCACGGGCTATGGTGAGCCCGTAGGCCAGGAAAGGCGGGAAAACTTGGCGCGGCGGGAAAATTCAAACTGGCATACACGTTCATCGATACTCAAAACCTATACGTTGCTATACATTAAAGCAATTGATAGAAATTATGAAATGCTGTAATTGCAAATTAAAATATAACATTTTTTGGAATATTTTTGTGTTATGGTTGATAAGCAAAAATGGAGTAAGGGTCTAAAGACTCTTAAACAGTTTTGACCCGTCCGTCATCGCTACTCTTTAACCTACCCTACCCTTGGGGGCCTGACGGCTGAGTGCAGAGCGCTCGTGATTTGTAGTTCTAAGGTTCCGGGTTCGATCCCCAGCCGAGGCGGAAACAAATGGGAAGATGCCCGTCCCACCCTGATGCGACTGTTCACCTAGCAGTAAACAGATACCTGGGAGTTAGACAGCTGCTACGGGCTGCTTCCTGGGGATGTGTAACCAAAAAGGAGGCCTGGTCGAGGACCGGGCCGCTAAGCCCCGAAATCATCTCAAGATAACCCTTGTCTAGCCTAGCCTACCCTAGCCTAGCCTAGCCTAGCCTAGCCCTGCCTAGCCCAACCCAAGGAAACAAATACATTTATATGTTTTATACTTAGTGTGCTCGAGGTGTGACGTCACTATATGACGTCATAGTTTCAATGGCCGTACAGATTTTTTCCTCCTACAAATGTGTCGTGTTTTGCCTCCTACAAATGTGTCGTGTTTTGCCTCCTACAAATGTGTCGTGTTTTGCCTCCTACAAATGTGTCGTGTTTTGCCTCCTACAAATGTGTCGTGTTTTGCCTCCTACAAATGTGTCGTGTTTTGCCTCCTACAAATGTGTCGTGTTTTGCCTCCTACAAATGTGTCGTGTTTTGCCTCCTACAAATGTTTCGTGTTTTGCCTCCTACAAATGTTTCGTGTTTTGCCTCCTACAAATGTGTCGTGTTTTGCCTCCTACAAATGTGTCGTGTTTTGCCTCCTACAAATGTGTCGTGTTTTGCCTCCTACAAATGTGTCGTGTTTTGCACAGTGTTCTCCAAATTTGTGTACATGACCCCCTGGAGCTCGTGGTAGTTAAGACGGTGCTAAGCACGAGGGTCATCCATAACCCGAATTACAAATCCCCAATAAAGGCGACTTTTATACCGGTAAACAAAGCCATTCCTTCACAAATACAAACAAATGAATAACACAAAAATTCCCCTCCTGAACTGGCGCTATTTTCTCAACAATATCCGCCCGACAACAGCCCCAGAATACCCAATTGGAAGCTTATTCTGCAAACTTTTATAAAAGGGCTCACATCTGGAGCGCCGTCTCCCTCAACGATTATTTCCCTAAGAGGCAACTATAACTTCTCCTCCTTGCCACACGCCGCCACTCCTTCCAACTTGTAGGAAATTCAAATATCATCATTAACAATACTAATGCACGATGCTATCCACAACAGCCAGGGCGTTCACAATTTGATTCATTTGAATCGTCGGAACTTTCGTACCTATGAGGGGTCCGAGATCGCATCTCTGTTGCTGCAAGTGAGTTCAATTATTAATGTAGTTATCACTGGATGTATTATCCTCATTAGTAGCAGTGGTTGAAATATCATTACTCTCCGAGTTCGATTCCCTAAGGTGACAGAAATGGTTGGGCACGCTTCTCTTCACCTAGCAGTAAACAGATGCCCGGGAGTTTGGCAACTGCTGAAGGTTTTTTATCCTGATGCAAGCCTTAACTATATATATATATATAATATATATATATATATATATATATATATATATATATATATATATATATATATATATATATATATATATATATATATATATATATTACATTACAGGTTGCCTGTCCCCGCCAACACGACTGGTTATTACCAGTATTATAATGGTGATACCACTGGCATCACCGTCGACAATCATGGCTCTCCAAGGTATGGCATGGTAACTACCCTCACAGCCTCCACATGGGCCTTCTCTCTATCAGATTTGATTAAACCAATCAAGACGAAAACGTAAAGGAGCAGAAGAAGTACGTGTATGAGAGGAGGAGGAGGAGAACGAGGTGGGGGGAGGGAGGAGAGGGAGAGGAGAGGAAGAGGAAGCAGAGTAAGCAGAGGAGGAGGAACGGAGCAACAAAAGCACCCATATACGAGGAAACCCAACATTAGGAAGGACTAATACCATAACCAAAAAGTAGCGTAGTTACACCAGCACCTCCCGCCGACACGTGCACGTCGACACAGCCGTTCAACTCGCCCACAAACTACCCAACCCGTCCTCCTAATAGCACGTCGCATTTTGACGTATATTGTCCCTAAAGGGGGTGGAAAAAACTAAGGGAGTGAAAATGGTGGCGGCTCGCGAATTTGACGTGATGTCCCGTTTTCTGAGTTCGTGGGTTCTCTGGTAGGTTAGGTTCGGGCACTTTACAGCAACAGTTTAGTGGCTTTGGGGACGCTTAGGAGGACGGGCTGAACTAACAACCGTCTCATCCACAAACGACCAACCAGCTCATCCACAAACGACCAACCAACTCATCCACAAACGACCAACCAGCTCATCCACAAACGACCAACCAACTCATCCACAAACGACCAACCAACTCATCCACAAACTACCAACCAACTCATCCACAAACTACCAACCAACTCATCCACAAACTACCAACCAACTCATCCACAAACTACCAACCAACTCATCCACAAACGACCAACCAACTCATCAACAAACGACCAACCAACTCATCCACAAACTACCAACCAACTCATCCACAAACTACCAACCAACTCATCCACAAACTACCAACCAACTCATCCACAAACTACCAACCAACTCATCCACAAACTACCAACCAACTCATCCACAAACTACCAACCAGCTCCAGCAAATTAATCACCAATCACAAAAACACCAGAGAAAATTGTCTCAAAATTTCCACTCATTCACAACAAAAAATTTTATAAATACAAAAGCAGACGAAATATAGCCATCACTTACCTTAAATGAAAAAAAAATAAACAACGCGTATTAATAAATTTGAATAAAAAAAAAAAAAAACGGAAAATATGGAAAACAAGACGAAGACGAAGAAAATAAAAATCATATACACGTGTAAACCATTTGTAAACATCTTTAACAATTTGGTTTAAAGCTGAAACATTATTCTGAACTTAATTATATATATATATAAAAAACACGTGCGTAAAGCTTTGAGTAAATTTACAAGAAGTGTTGCAAAATCATCTTTTCACAAAACTGAGCAATCACACATTAACAATGCACAAAAAAGCACAGATTTTAACATTTCTTACAGTATATATATATATATATATATATATATATATATATATATAGAATAAAAACACATTATTGTTATTGATTAACGAGAGAGAGAGAGAGAGAGAGAGAGAGAGAGAGAGAGAGAGAGAGAGAGAGAGAGAGAGAGAGAGAGAGAGAGAGAGAGAGAGAGAGAGAGAAGGGCAATGCAGGAAGATAAAGATATTAATGCTAAAAAAAAATACAAAAAGATTGAAGATAAGGGAAGCCAGAGAGAAGGGAAACAGGGCATCTTAACAGTGGTAAACAACGACCAATGTCAACACGGTCCGTAAGAGAAACAAAGCTTTAGGACTACCCAAGATGTTCAACATAAAATTATAAAGTAGAAAAGTGTTATGAAGGATCGAGGTCCAGCACTGAGGAAGGTGAGGAAGGTGAGGAAGATGAGGAAGGTGAGAGGAGGGGGGGGGGAAGCATGGGGTGGGGGGGAGGCTCACCTTCTATGCCTGGCCCGCTTCTTCTCCTCGTCTGAGAGGCCAGACCAGGAGCGCCGACGGTGCGAGTCGCTGGTGCTGCCGCTGCGGCCCTTCCTCGCGTCCAGGAACTCTTCTGAACCTGCCACGGGAACACCAGTCATCTTTAGTACACCTGCACCACCAGGGCTCTACACCTGCACCACCAGGCCTCTACACCTGCACCACCAGGGCGCTACACCTGCACCACCAGGGCGCTACACCTGCACCACCAGGGCGCTACACCTGCACCACCAGGGCGCTACACCTGCCCCACCAGGGCTCTACACCAGTTCACCTACACAACAGGGCTGCCTACACTAATAGTAGGTGGTAGCTGAGTAGACAGCGTGCGGGACTCGTAATCCTGTGGCCCGGGTTCTATTCCCGACGCCGGCGAGGAACAATGGGCAGGGTTTTTTTCACCCTGATGCCCGTGTTACCTAGCAGGAAATAGGTACCTAGGAACTAGGCAGCTATTACGGGCTGCTTCCTATGTATGTGTGTGTGTGTGTGTGTGTGTGTGTGTGTGTGTGTGTGTGTGTGTGTGTGTGTGTGTGTGTGTGTGTGTGTGTGTGTTTGTGTGAAAAAAATAGTAGTTAACCTGCTTGATACCTGCTTGATGGGGTTCTGGGAGTTCTTCTACTCCCCAAGCCCGGCCCGAGGCCAGGCTTGACTTGTGAGAGTTTGGTCGAACAGGCTGTTGCTTGGAGCGGCCCGCAGGCCCACATATCCACCACAGCCCGGTTGGTCCAGCACTCCTTAGAGAAAACAATCAAGTTTTCTCTTAAAGATGTCCACGGTTGTTCCGGCAATATTTCTTATGCTCGCTGGGAGGATGTTGAACAACCGCGGACCTTTGATGTTTATACAGTGTTCTCTGATTGTGCCTATGGCACCTCTGCTCTTCACTGGTTCTATTCTACATTTTCTTCCATATCGTTCACTCCAGTACGTTGTTATTTTACTGTGTAGATTTGGGACCTGGCCCTCCAGTATTTTCCACGTATATATTATTTAATATCTCTCTCGTCTCCTTTCTAGTGAGTACATTTGGAGAGCTTTGAGACTTTGGACTATCTAATGTAATTATTAGAAACAAACAAATTAAATAAATTCATTCAGATTTGGAAGAACTAAGAAATGCCCAGAGACCTGAAAGCTGCAGTATTAAAAGCTATGACAAGTTTTGTAATAATAGGTATTTGTATGGTCAGCACAGTAACCGGACCAGGCAATGTGTTGTAGTCATTGCGCGAATTCGCCTTGGCTATAGGCACATCTGGCAGGTTAGTGAGGCTGAGCCACTACCAGAATACTCAGATTGTAAACTCTGTGATAAACCTTTAACGCACTCACTTGAACACTATATTGTTGAATGTGAAACCGTAAAAGATTTTAGACCTCCTGGCCTCTTGTACCACCAAATGTGTAACTATTTCATTGAATCTGGTGTACTGGACGACATCCTAACAATTTATCCAAAATTTGCTTGTCCATTTTAAAGACTGAAGAACAATTTTATTTTATTATTTTTTAAGTTGCATCTCTTATGAACCCATCCCTGCCCTTGTGTGCCAGTGCACAATAGAAAGTTGATTTTACATATTCATACATTAAATATTGACTGTAACCGTTATATATATATATATATATATATATATATATATATATATATATATATATATATATATATATATATATATATCAGCATTATCCTCACTTTAATAAGACTTAATTGAAATCCTCAGATTAGGCAAAATTGTCATTAAATTTTGTCAGTAAAGATGTCAATAATAATGAGGAGAGCTTTGAGACGATCCCAATAACTTAGATGCTTTATTGCGTCTATGCGTGCCGTATATGTTCTCTGTATTCCCTCTATTTCAGCAATCTCTCCTGCTCTGAAGGGGGAAGTGAGTACTGAACAGTACTCGAGACGGGACAACACGAGTGACTTGAAGAGTACAACTATTGTGATGGGATCCCTGGGTTTGAAGGTTCTCGTAATCCATCCTATCATTTTTCTGGCTGATGCAATATTTGCTTGGTTATGCTCCCTAAACGTTAGGTCGTCAGACATCATTATTCCCAAATCCTTTACATGCTGTTTTCCTACTATGGCCAGATTTGATTGTGTTTTGTACCCTGTATTATGTTTAAGGTCCTCATTTTTTCCGTACCTGAGTACCTGGAATTTATCACTGTTAAACATCATGTTATTGTCCGTTGCCCAGTCGAAGACTTTATTAATATCTGCTTGTAGTTTTTCAGTGTCTTCAACAGAGGAAATTTTCACGCTGATTTTTTTGTCATCTGCAAAGGATGACACGAAGCTGTAATTTGTATTTGAGTCTATATCTGATATGAGAATAAGGAACAACAGTGGTGCAAGGACTGTACCTTGAGGTACTGAGATTTTAACTGAGCTTGGACTCAATTTTATATGGTTGACTGTTACTTTGTGTGTTCTGTTCGACAGAAAACTGAGTATCCAGCGTCCTACTTTACCAGTTATTCCCATTGACCTCATTTTGTGTGCTATCACTCCATGGTCACATTTATTGAATGTCTTTGCAAAGTCTGTGTAAACCACATCTGCATTCTGTTTTTCTTCTAATGCCTCAGTGATTTTGTCGTAATAGTCAAGTAGCTGTGAGAGGCACGATCTTCCTGCTCTAAGTCCATATTGGCCTGGGTTGTGGAGGTCATTGGTTTCCATAAAACTAGTGACCTGACTCCTGATCACTTTCTCAAATTGTAGACAAGGACGGACTATTTAACACGGATGGTACACGCACAAGGGGACACAGGTGGAAGCTGAGTACCCAACTGAGTCACAAAGACATTAAAAGGATCTTTTTTCAGTGTCAGAGTAGTTAGTAAATGGAAGGCACTAGGAAATGATGTGGTGGAGGCTGACTCCATACACAGTTTCAAATGTAGATATGATAGAGCCCAGTAGGCTCAGGAATCTGTACACCAGTTGATTGACCGTTGAGAGGCGGGACCAAAGAGCAGAAGCTCAACCCCCGCAAGCACAACCACGTGAGGTGAATAAAGGCAAACACATGAAACTCACCAAGGTCTCGAGGTCTTAATACGTCACAACATGTGCCAAATACGTGAGACAGCTGTCAACACGTGATCAACGCCTGAAGCAGCTGTCAACACGTGATCAACACCTGAGGGAGCTGTCAACACCTGAGGCAGCTGTCAACACGTGATCAACGCCTGAAGCAGCTGTCAACACGTGATCAACACCTGAGGGAGCTGTCAACACGTGAACAACACCTGAGGGAGCTGTCAACACCTGAGGCAGCTGTCAACACGTGCTCATCACCTGAGACAGCTGTCAACATGTGATCAACACCTGAGGGAGCTGTCAACACCTGAGGGAGCTGTCAACACCTGAGGCAGCTGTCAACACGTGCTCAACACCTGAGACAGCTGTCAACATGTGATCAACACCTGAGGGAGCTGTCAACACCTGAGGCAGCTGTCAACACGTGACCAACACCTAAAACAGCTGCCAACACGTACCCAATACCCTACGATAACAAAGAGAAGTAGTGGAACCAGGAATAAGACGCAATAAAGTTTCGAAAACCGACTCTGATAAATAAAACAAATAAAAAAAGAAGTCAGGAGGAGGAGGAGGAGGAGGAGGAGGAGGAGGAGGAGGAGGAGGAGGAGGAGGAGGAGGAGGAGGAGGAGGAGGAGGAGGAGAAGAGCGAAGTGCGGGAAGAGAATCATATCCGCGGAGGTGTTGACGGCCAAGTTGAGGCGAAGCGCTGTGTAAGTTATCGCCCGGGACACTTACTTCGTCTCGGGAGTATTGGGAGGAGAGGGAGGGAGGCGGGATGGAGGGAGGGTAGTCGTAGGGAGGGAGGGAGGCGGGATGGAGGGAGGGAGGCGGGATGGAGGGAGGGTAGTCGTAGGGAGGGAGGGAAAGAGGGAGGGGTAGTGGGAGAGAACGAGGAAGGGAGGTGAGAGAAACACACACACGCACAGAAATGGAAGAGACTTGATAAACGTAACAAAAATATTTACGGGGCTGAACAAAGTTAAGGAACACAAGTGTGGCGGCTACACGCAGGTGAGCCACAGGTGTGGCGGCTACACGCAGGTGAGCCACAGGTGTGGCGGCTACACACAGGTGAGCCACAGGTGTGGAGGCTACACGCAGGTGAGCCACAGGTGTGGCGGCTACACACAGGTGAGCCACAGGTGTGGAGGCTACACGCAGGTGAGCCACAGGTGTGGCGGCTACACACAGGTGAGCCACAGGTGTGGAGGCTACACGCAGGTGAGCCACAGGTGTGGAGGCTACACGCAGGTGAGCCACAGGTGTGGAGGCTACACGCAGGTGAGCCACAGGTGTGGCGGCTACACGGAGGTGAGCCACAGGTGTGGCGGCTACACGGAGGTGAGCCACAGGTGTGGCGGCTACACGCAGGTGAGCCACAGGTGTGGCGGCTACACGGAGGTGAGCCACAGGTGTGGCGGCTACACGGAGGTGAGCCACAGGTGTGGCGGCTACACGGAGGTGAGCCACAAGTGTGGCGGCTACACGGAGGTGAGCCACAGGTGTGGCGGCTACACGCAGGTGAGCCACAGGTGTGGCGGCTACACGGAGGTGAGCCACAGGTGTGGCGGCTACACGGAGGTGAGCCACAGGTGTGGCGGCTACACGGAGGTGAGCCACAAGTGTGGCGGCTACACGGAGGTGAGCCACAGGTGTGGCGGCTACACGCAGGTGAGCCACAGGTGTGGCGGCTACACGGAGGTGAGCCACAGGTGTGGCGGCTACACGGAGGTGAGCCACAGGTGTGGCGGCTACACGGAGGTGAGCCACAAGTGTGGCGGCTACACGGAGGTGAGCCACAGGTGTGGCGGCTACACGCAGGTGAGCCACAGGTGTGGCGGCTACACGGAGGTGAGCCACAGGTGTGGCGGCTACACGGAGGTGAGCCACAGGTGTGGCGGCTACACGGAGGTGAGCCACAGGTGTGGCGGCTACACGGAGGTGAGCCACAGGTGTGGCGGCTACACGGAGGTGAGCCACAGGTGTGGCGGCTACACGGAGGTGAGCCACAAGTG